TGACAAGGATGAACTGAAGATTGTTCGGAAAGAGTGGGAAGACGACACAGTCTTGTCAGGGAAAGAGGGGGAACAAAAGACCCAAAGTCAAATTTCAAAAACGGGCAGGGCGGATAAAAGGTCTGGTTTACCCGATTCTGAAAACACAAAAAAACAAGAAGAAAGCAGATGGGCCCAAGGGGAAGTCAAAAGTTGCACTAAACCAGACCCAATTAGTAGTCTAACTCTAAATAGTCCTCAAATTAAGGAGGATGTCAAACAGGACCGGGCGAAACTAATGGAAATAACGGTTGAAAACATCATGACAGATGAGAACATCACCTTTCTCGGAGATTCCGTCGTAGTGCCAGCAGATGCAAACCAAGGAGTTAGCAGCCATGATCCTGCGGTGAAGGCGATGGGAATTAAAGGCAGGAAGCAGTTTAAGGTGGCCAGGAAAGATGGCAAAGGGCAACAAGGTCAGCTGGGTAGAATACCGCTATCAGATGTGGACATGAACATTGAAGCTACAACTGTAGCTGCAAAAAGGAAACCTTCAGAGGAGGAGGAAGAAGCCAACCTTATGCAAATTGATGGGGGCTTGGCGAAGAGGAGTAAGCAGAAGCAAGAGTGCGATGAGTTACCAAATTCTGAGGTCATGGAGGCCAGCCTTAAGTGGTCTCCCAGGATCACATGATAGTTGCGGCGTGGAATTGTCGAGGGGCAGGGAGCTCCTTGACTATTCCCTGTCTTAAGGAGCTAATGGTGATGAAGCAGGACACATAAAAGAGATACTGGAGTTCTATGGAAAAGCTTCAGGACAACAAGTCAACATCAACAAATCAGCAGTCATCTTCAGTAAAAACACAGGCAGTAGGGAGAAGGAGGAGGTGCTTCAGAAGTTAGGAGGAATCCAACAAGTTACACAAGGAAAGTACTTGGGCCTACCCCTAGTGGTTGGAAGGTCGAAAAACAGTGTTTTCAGATTCATTAGAGAAAATTTGATGTCTAGGATTCAGAACTGGAAAGGGAAATTGTTGAGTAATGCAGGGAAAGAGGTGCTACTCAAATCAGTGGCCACTGCTCTTCCATCCTATGCCATGTCCGTGTTCAGAGTATCAAAGAGCCTGTGCAAAGAGCTAAGTGGGTTAATGGCCAGATTTTGGTGGGGGAATGATCAAGGGGAAAAAAGAATGCATTGGAAGAAATGGAAGGATATTGCTGATAGGAAAGAAAATGGTGGCCTTGGGTTTAGGGACTTGCTCTGTTTCAATGAAGCTTTGCTTGCCAAACAAGTTTGGCGACTTATTACCTGTCCCAACTTGTTAGTAAGTAAAGTCATGAAAAATAGATATTTCCCTAATTCCAATATCTTTCAATCCAAAGTAAAAGCTGGAGCATCATGGATTTGGCAAAGTTTGCATAGTTCTTTAGAGTTGCTTGAAAGTGGAATCTGGAAGCAGGTTGGGGATGGATCAACAGTGGAAATATGGGAAGATAGATGGTTAGATAATTCAAAAAATGGAAGAGTCTCCTCACCAAAACCAAATGGCTACCAACTAACCAAAGTCAGCAGTTTGATCAAGGGGAGGAAATGGAACAAAGACATCATTCAAGGACTGTTTTCAAAGGAAGAGGCAAAGGCGATCATGGCTATCCCTCTCAGTGATTTCCCAAAGAAGGACAGATTCAAATGGAGATATACAGATACTGGCTGCTATTCTACTAAATCTGGGTATGCTAAGGCCAAAGAGAGATTCAAAGAGAGCAGTGAGAAGAATAAGGCGAATGTAAACTCTAGCACAAACAAGGAAAGATCCAAGGTCTGGAATCAACTTTGGGGACTGAATATCAAACATAAAATTAAACATTTCTTGTGGAAATGTCTCCATTGTATCCTCCCAACAAATGAGGAAATTTTTAGAAGGACAGGCAAGGGTGATCCGATATGCAAATGCTGCGGGGAAGAACCAGAAATGACTGAACATGCACTTTTTCACTGCAAATCTAGAGTGCTGGCTTGGGCAACAATTTCCTGTCTCTTGGGATGGCATTGAAGAACATAACTGGAACTTTTGGAAATGGTGGGAACATATGCAGGGTGCCAGAGCTAGGGAAGATGGGAATAAACACATTGAAATCATAGCAAATTTCCTCTGGCAAATTTGGAAGGCAAGAAATGGGTGGAACTTTAACCAGGATCTGAAAGAAGGTGACCAGATATCCAAAAAAGCAATGGAAGAATGGATAGAGTTTAATGAAGCAGGAAGAAATGCAGAGGTGACTATTGGTACGGGCCCCCAACCAGATGACAGTCAGAGCATGTTAGTTGGACTAATGGAACAACATAGTTCCATTATGTATACAGATGCAAGAATGAATCAAGCCAGAATGAAAGCAGGAGTGGGAATCATTGCTAAAGCTAACAATGGCAGGATTCTGACGTCTTGGTCTATCCCGCAGCCAGGAGGTAGAGATGCAGCTGAAATGGAGGCTATCGCTATTAGAACAGCACTAAGCAAGGCTATTGAGGAAGATATGACATCCTTATTGATCCTCTCGGACTGCAAAGCAGTGGTGGATAGAATCAATATAGGAGGTCAAGGTCTAACCTCTCTGGACATGCTCATTGAAGACATAAAGCAGTTGAGTCTCTCATTCTGGAAATGCTCCTTTTTTCACATAAGGAGAGAAATGAACCTGTGCAGCCATAGGCTAGCTAAGTTAGCAATTAACTTGTTACATGAAATTAGGTGGAAGCATTCCTTCCCTGTGTGGCTTAACAAAGAAGCCCACAATGATTTCCTGGCAGTTGCCAGCTTTTTGTAAATCTGCTGTGCAGACTAATCATTTAATTATATAATGCAGTTGAAATTTGAAAAAAAAAAAAAGGTAAACTTAGATGGGTGAATATGTTGATGTGCCACAGATAATAGTTTTTCATCATTCATAACTTGTTCCAGAACAAACTTTATAGATAGACCTCACAAATGTTTTCGATTGAGATGATAATATCAAAGTTCAAACACAAGAAAGTAATAATAAAAATTAAACAAACAGAAATTCATATTATAGGGACAAAGTTGTATATTATCCTTAGGATTTTGCGACCCCACCTTGCAGTACGAGTTTCAAGCTTATAGTGAACTCTTTCGACTTGCATTATCATAGAGAGTTTTGTTTACAACTACAACGAGTCATAGACAGAGTATTCCCACCAGACTTCTCAAGAATCTATCATTTCAAAATGAGGAAAACTTCTGATTTACAATGCAGTTTTAAATAAACTAGCTTTTAGGGGAAAAAACATGGAAAGGATTGATTTTGCACCCAATTGATTGCAAGATTATAATATTCCTAGTTAACTAACGAATTTGGACACATGGAGTGACATAGGGCGTGTCTTGATTTCATAAAAAAATCAATCAGATATTTGGTGAATGAAAAAAGTCAGGTTTGATTTTGACTGTCAAAATAAAGGTTTAATTTTGGAAAGAAATCAATCAAAATTTTTTTTTACAAGAGAATTGTCATTGATTGAGTTAAAAAAATCATTACACCGATTTAAGGTCTTTGGAAAAATATCTTAGACACCAAAATTACGTAGAAAACATATCTCGACACAAATTGCATTTTTGAAAAATTTTCCACTAAATAGCTTGAAGAAAAATTCAGTTAGTCACTAAGAAGTTGACCTATGAATTCAATATTATAAAAAAAAGACTAACTAAAAAATTAAAGATTATAAGAAATTACCCATAAAAACCAATAAATTGGGTTTTTTTTTCTAATTGCCTGTATTTCATATGTCACCATAAGACTATCAATGGGCCTTCAACTAAAGGTGTGTGTGATAAAAATGGAGTTTGAAAACTGAAATCTAAAATTTGAAATCTAAATTCATTTAATTATTGAATAGTTAAGTACTAAATTTGATACATTTGAACGTATATCATATTAAATAATAAGTGAATAATTTATCACTTATTTTTGAGATCAAGTTTTGCCTAGAAAATTCAGTGCTACTTAATTAATTTAGATATTCTATTTTTTACTTATCAAACACAAATAAACATATTAAGATCTGAACCCATTAATTTTAAATGTTGAATTGACTTATCAAACAGGGTCTAAGTTTTTTGCCAAACTTAAACCAACTTATCGAATAATGTATGTCACATTAAAAATGAGTTATACCAACATTACACATAGCCTCTAAAGTTATCAAGTCCAACATGTGATGAGATCCATGCATATTTTACGTCTTAATTCTTAAGCCCTCACAACGTAATAAAAAAAAGATAATATAACTAGATTTTCTACGTGACCACGCGTGCTTTACTCGTGAACTTATTTAAGGCAATGTATTGTGGACGATAAATGAACAGTTTGTTATGAAATAATAAAATATTGTGAATATTTATCATATTTATCTCATCCTCTAAATGGTGACATATATTTCACGTTGTTCGAGATGATAAAGCTATTACGTCGTACGAGAAGATTGTATCATTATCTTAAGGGCAAAAAACACCAGCGGTCATTAAACTATTGTCAGAATCATGTTTTGGCCATCAAACTATTTTTTGTCAATAATTAGTCACTGAACAACTTAATCAGTAAATCCGTGATCATTTCGTTGATAATGACTCTTAATTTCTAAAATAAGCAGGACACGTGGCAAAGGACAGGGACAATTTTGTCCAACAATTTACAGATCAAATGCCACCACTTTCTGCTGCCGCTGCTCAATCAATAAGCCAAAACCCAAGTCCAAGAACCCCAAGAATCAGCTTTCCGATGACAACGCCCGCCGGATTATCAAAGCCAAAGCCCAGTACTTGAGCCAGTTGAGGCGCAACCAGGGCTCCTGGGCTCAGACTCCCAAGTGGATTAAGAGGACCCCTGAGCAGATGGAGATGACAGGGATGTATAATCCCACTGATTGGTTCTTTTTTTGATGCTTGACTTATTTAGTCAAATCCTTGTACTCCCGCAAATGGCCATCAACCATCGTTCCCATGGCGCAGCCGGCTGTAACGGCACCTATTCTTCCGCCTATCAAGGCTGAACACGATCCCAATCCACCATCTCCGCAACCAGAAACTGCCACCCCTATCAACCAAGAGCCACAACCCACCACCATCACTTCCCTCCCATCTCGACCATCACAAACCCCATCATCTCCTCCGTTAGTCCCATCTTTTCACAATTCAATCACCTACCTCCGCGACCTGTCCGCCGCCCTTGAAGCCTTCAACAGTTGCTATTACGACCTCCAAGCTCACCTCGATTCCATTAATTCCGCTCTTGATTCCCAATTATCCCTCCAAAAATCTAATCTTTCCTCCCCACCCCGTGAAATTTTACCCATTATTCCTCTCCCTCCGTCCACCTCCACCCGACTGCCATCAAACCCTTCTCCGGTAAAAGAAAAAGGAAAAGGAAAAGGGAAATCATGTCAATCAGAGCTGGAAAGCCTTTGTACATTAATGTCTAGCAGAGGGCTTCGGAAATACATGGTAACTAATATTGCAGAACCAGATAAACTCCGAGAAGAAGTTCCAAAAGCATTGGAACTCTCGCCTAATCCGGCAAAATTGGTTCTGGAATGCTCTGGGAAATTTTTTTTTGCAAGGGAGTAATTAAAGCTTATACTAAGGATTCCCCCATGATTCTGGCGAGGGAGGCTTCTGTTTTATTGTTAGAGTGTTTTTTTCAGATGGAAAATGAGGGTGGCGATGATAGAGTCATTAAGATTGAGAAGGTGACAAAATTGTCCCTGTCCTTTGCCACTTGTCCTGCTAATTTAGAAATTAAGAGTCATTATCAACGAAATGGCCATGAATTTACTGATTAAGTTGTTCAATGGTCAATTATTGACAAAAAATAGTTCGATGGCCAAAACATGATCCTGACAATAGTTTAATGGCCGCTGGAGTTTTTTGCCCTTATCTCAAAGAAGGTATCTATTATACTTTTTCCTATAAATAGGGATTACCTCCTTTGTAACAAAGGAATAGAAAACTGAAGTTTCATTTGAGTGAATAAAATTGTCGCGCCCCACTTTTTGATAATGTGTGAGAGTAGTGTGTATAATGTGTGAAATGTGAACGTGTGTGAAAAGTGAAGATAAAAGGCCGTGGGACTTGAAAATGCAACGATTTGGCCAATTAGAGTTCAAAAAGGGTTTTTTACATGAAAAATGAAGTCGCCACTTGGTATGGAGTTAGGGTGTACCAAATCACCCAAAAATGATTTTGTTTTTGAAAAAGCAAAGTAAACAAACCCCTTTTTAAGAACTCTTAGGTCTACGTAACCAGAAAAAGGGATCGGGGGTCACATTTGATAAGGGAGAAGGCAAAGGCAAAGCCTAAGGCACTCCCTTACCCTAGCCAAAGCTAGTTGCGTGACTTAGCCCCACTTTTCCTAATTTTTCTACCCAAGGTATGTATCACATGTTGGATATGACTAGATGAATGGAAAGGAAAATGCAAACCTAAATCTAAAATGTCTCTTATGAGATTTTTTGTCCCAATCACATGAGTTTGTGACGGCCAATAGGAAGAATCTCATAGAGGTCATAAGAAATGCAAATGAAGACTCGAATATGTGCAAGTGTGAAAATGTATGAGGGATGCAAAAATGCAAATAAAGAAAGTAAGTGCAAGTGTGCGAATGTGATAAAAGTGCATGTGTGCACATGTAAGGAAAGTGTACGTGTGCCAAGTGAGAAAATAAGAGGGTTTGTGTGCAAATAGATGAAAATAGGGTATGATAGTAGTAAATAAGTGCAATTTGAATGCCATTTGTGAGATAGAAAAAATAAATAAGTGATAGAAAAAAGGTGGTAAGAAAGTGTGGATTGAGAAAAGTCTAAGTTGTGAGAAAATGTGGCTCAAAGAGTGAGGAGGTGATATAAAAAGAATGCAAGTGTATGACCTTAAGAGGAATGCATCAAGTCGGGCACGGGAAGGACTTCTAACTTTACGACTTTGATTTTCCCTTGGATTAGAAGGAAGAACTAGCGTGCTAAGGCTATTTTGTAGCCAAACTCGCTCGTTTCCCTTATCGAAAGGGGACTCTCAAGCAAATGTACCCTATCACTAGCATGAGATGCAAAAACCTAAAATGAAAGGGAAAGGATCGGAGGAACATGCCAAATGCTAGAAAACTAAGAAAAATGCATGAAATGAAGTGAAACATGCAAGTATGGACTCACGAGAGAAATCCCTAAGGGTCTAGCGTTGGACTAGCCCATTCTATGAATTCTTACTAGCGTTGGACTAGTGGAAACGTACATTCATCCATCACATTCATTCATGGCTATGGAAAGCGAGTAGACATGTCAATCACCTATAAACGCATAGCACATAACAATTAGCATGCTCGACTAGATGCAAGAGCCTAATAAAGCAAATTAACACATAGCAACAAAAGCAACCAATCAAGCTAATAAACCTATTACATTTGCTAACTAGGCACATGTTTTCAATAGGTCTTCATCAAGTGTTCTCCAAGCCCTATCTATTACAAGCCAAGAGGTGTACACATACCCCATAAATAAAAGAATGACTTAATAAAAGCAAGAGTAAATAAAATAAAGGAACTAAAGAAAGGCAAGAAATGCAAATTAGACATGCAACTCTCACTTAGCATGTTGGATCACATAGGGGAGACAAAAAGGGATAAAAGAAAGTATACCTCCCCATGCAATGGTGATCAAATGAAGGAAAAATGGCTTCAAAACAATAAAAAGGTCAAGGTACCACTTTAATTAAGAAAAATTAAAAGAAATGTGCAAAACAAAGCTCACTTGATCATAAAGCCTCTAAAGTCACGAATTAAATACACTTAAACAAAAGATGGTAATTAATTAAAGCAAACAAACAATGAAGTTGCAAAAATCAAAACTGCGAAGGATCAAATTGATGAAATTATTCAATTGGCTGGGTCATAGTGAAACAAAGGGGAACTTGGGGGGTCAAAGTGTAATTTTTCAGAAATTATGCATGCATGCACACGAAGCTTTCTTCTTTAGACAATGCTTCTGCAATCAACCCTGCCGCTATTTCATTTCAAAATGATGATTCCAGACACACTTTGATTCAAAGACAAACTTTTCAACCAAGAGTCTTAACTTCAAGCCAAGCAACGAGACACACGATTTCAACATACATCATGCAGATTCGGTACCAACTGTAAAGAAAAGCAAGTCTGCAATTTTATTTTTCCATGTTATTCCATTCCCACAACCGAAAGTTGCTCATGATTCGTGAGGTAGGAGAGCAATATCATAACAAGGCATTCACCCAATTACCTGCCTTTGGTAATTAACTCACGAAGGAATACCTCCCAACAGACTTGAAAGTGCACAAAAAGCAGCAAAGATGCATAAGAAAAGAATCTAAAAAAACACAACAGATTTCGTGCAGCTACGTAAGAATTTTCTCTGCAACAATTCTATTCCCCACCCGTGGCTGTCCTCCAATTTATCATGCAGACAGATCCAATGGACGTCCAGATTTTTAAACAAAACAATCATTCACTCGGCTGAACATTACATTTTTTTATCACGAGATCAAAGCTGGAAATCTGAGTTGCCCGACAGCAAAAGAAATGAAAGAAAAGTGCAGCAAGGGACGCGAGCCTTTATATGCATCAGAAAAAAAACATTGCAAGCATCAGCAGCTCTATGATGCAGTTGAATGTAAAAAATGCGACAAATGCACAAAGGGAGAAACTTGCAGCAAACAGGCCCACAGCATACCAATACCAGCCGAATACCCAAAGAAATCATAAACTTCAAGCCAGCCAAACATGAAACAGGGAGGGATCAAGTGACGTTGGAAGCAAAATGGCAAACACTGGACTTTGACTCCTCTATCATGTAAACATCAAGCACTGATTTCTTTCTTTTATCACATAGACATCATCCACAGCCACAAGACTGGACCTTTTACCCACAGACGAAGAAATAAACTCTTGGTGAACATGAAACAAAAGGGGCGGAAGAGTAGACAAGTAAAGCAGTGATCTTTCCATAAGCAAAATCACGAAACATTATTCAAAGAGATACTGGGATCTAAAGAAGAGGAACTACTTACAGTGCTCAGGCTTTCTTGATGAAGATCCGCCTCTGCTGGTGGCGTGAAGGTTAGCAATTCCAGTGGCTTTCCTTGCTCTCTAACAATCCTTTGCTCAGGTTTGTTGCTTCAGGTTACAGCCTCCCCAATCTTCCTCTCATCTCTTTCTAGACCTCGAATTCTGGTTTTCCTTCTATCTCAGACCCACTCTCAAAGCTTGCTTTTTTCTTGCTCACTCGACTGCAACTCTGAGCTTTCCTTTTCTCTGTTTCCTCTCCCAGCCGCAACAAAACTTTCCTTGGCTTCCCTTTTTCTCCCTCCTAAAAACCCAGCTGTCCCTCTCTGTCTTGCTCTTCTTATCCGTCGCCCCTTTTCTCTCATTCTCTCCCTCTCAGCTTTTTCACTCAGCCCGTCCCCTCTACCTCTGTTTCTTTCTTTTGCCGTTTTCCAGATTTTGCAGCCGCCACCACTCCTTCCTCTTTTCTCTCTTAGCCGCTCTCTCTCTTTCCCCCTCTTGCCTCTCTTTCTTTTTATACCGGGCCTCCACCCTAAACCCTCAACCATACTCTCCAAAATTTTGCATCCAAGGGCTGCTCGAGCCTTTCTTTGCAAGCTGCGAAAAAACGCAGCTTGCTGTCGCGTATTGCCCTTTTTTTGTTTTTTTTTTTTGAAATTAATTAAAACAAAATTGATAATAAAAATAAATAACAAAAATAATTTAATTAACATTGGATAAAATAAATAAACTAGAAACAACAATGTGCAATTTCCGTTTTTTCTTTTTTTTTCATTTTCCATTTTCATCATTTTTCTCTTTTCTAAATGAACCAACCAATCAATAAACAAAAACAAAAGATAAATTAAGTAAAATTGACTAAAAATAGATAAATAAAGCCAAATTAAAAAAAATTGCTTTTTTCTTTTTTTCTTTTTTTTCCCTTTTTTTATGATTTTTCTCTTTTTCTCTTTTTTCAATTAAATTAGTAATAAATGTTCGTAAACTAATTAAAATAAGAGACATGAAACAGGAATCCCCGAAAATAAATCTAAAATTGAAACAACAAATTTAAAATTAAACTAATTAAATAAGTAAAATTCGAAACCAAAAATTTAGTGTCTACAGTTTGCCCCTCTTTGTCTGAGTTTTGAAAAAACTTGAGATAAAGAAGTAGACACCAAATACTTACCTGCAAACTTGTCAACGACTGTTCATTTGTTGAAATGAGGACTGGCCCTCTTTGATGGGACTGATTCGGACGAGAAATTTAAAATCGGGACTGACCCGAACAAAATTTAAAATCATGGTGGGCTCACTAGTGGGACTGACCCACGGTTAGTGGCGGTGCAAAAGGAAATGATCACTGGTGGGACTGACCCACGGCTAGTGGCTAATGAAACGAAATGCTCACTAGTGGGACTGACACACAGCTAGTGGCTGATGAAAATGAAATGCACACTAGTGGGACTGACCCACGGCTAGTGGCTAAGCAAACGAAATGCTCACTAGTGGGACTGACCCACGGCTAGTGGCTAACGAAAATGAAATGCACACTAGTGGGACTGACCCACGGCTAGTGGCGATGCAAAAGGAAATGCTCACTAGTGGGACTGACCCACGACTAGTGGCTAATGAAACGAAATGCTCACTAGTGGGACTGACCCACGGCTAGTGGCTGATGAAAATGAAATGCACACTAGTGGGACTGACCCACGGCTAGTGGCTAAGCAAATGAAATGCTCACTAGTGGGACTGACCCACGGCTAGTGGCTAACG